CTTTAGACCTCAAACTATAAAAGCTGTGTTGTGTCCATGCGGCAATGCATCGCAGGCAGTAACACAGCGTGTACAGTTATTGTTGATGCTATATTGTTTTTGTTGACCCTCTTATACAGCTAGTCTACTGTTTTTCTTTAAAATAAATATTCAAAAACATTTAATCCACTGATGCCTAAATTAATGTAATTTTATTGGTATCTATTTTTATTTTGAAATTTACCAGTAGCTGCTGCATTTCCCACCCTAGGCTTATACTTGAGTCAGTAAGTTCCCCTGTTTTTTGTGGTAAAATTAGGTGCCTCAGCTTGTATTTGGGTCGGCTGATACTCGAGTATAGATGGTAATCTGGAATGCCTTCTCTGATTCCTCAGAAGCAAGCAGTCACCAACGGGTGATGCAGTAGATGTGCCAGTGTTTCTCAGTAGTTTCTCGTCCCTTGTTTTGCACGACACGAAGAACGAGAGCAGTTTCTCGTTCCTTGTATCGTAGGACACGAATGAGAGCAGTTTCTCGTCTCTTGTTTCGTAGGACATGAATGAAGTTGCCAGCTTCGTGGATGGTTCCATTTCAGGATGTTCCAGGAACCATCTGAATAACCCCCCGTTCACGCCCCGTGAGTCCTGGTGTGACAGTCCCGGGGGGGAGTGGCGATGTGTGTGGGACATTTTCGGTTCATGAAGATGGATGCGGGTAGGCTGAAGAGAGGTTGTAGGGAAGTGTGCAGAGGGGAAGGCAACCCACAACACACCTGCTTTCCTAAATGAGACGGAAATCCAAAAGGGACAGTCATACCCCCACCCCACCCTGCAGCTTCAGGGAAGGCCCAAGCAGGATTTGCTGCAGACACCTGAGATGGGTGGTCAGCTGGTCACACTTGCATCAGCACGCCCTCGGCTGAGTATTTTCCAGAAGGGAGATCAGAATCCAGGTCTGGGCTGCAGGGGAGGGCTGAGCCCAATGACGTCCCTCCTCTGTGGGAGGAAATGAATGAAGCCAGAGTGCAGGCCCAGGAGTTCAGGGTCAGGGCAGCCAGCACGGTCCTAATGAACTTTGGTTGAACTTTGATCAACTTATCAAAGCTGCCTCCCAGGGTGTGGATCTGGACTCGGGCCCTCTTTAGCATGGGGACAGAACTACAGGCCCACAGCCAATGGTTTCTTGCCTGAGAAAGGAACGGAGCTTCTAGATCACAGCGTGTTAGGGAAGACTTCCATTCTGGGCTGCAAATGGCTTCTAACAGAGAGGCTGGAGGTCTGGCCCACCCAGAGGTGCCTTAGAAGAAAAGACTCCTCGCACAACCTGGAAGAGTAATGGAGCAAGGGGGTGGGGCTAGGCGAGTGCAATGACATACATGGGGACCAGGAGCAGCTGTGGAAGTGTCCTGGCTGGCCAAGCAGGCCAAGCACTACAACGGCATGGTGACGCGGCCTCATCCATGAAGGTGGTGCCAGCTCCATGAACCTCTCTCCTATGAAGACCAAAATCTCCTCGCTGTGGCCTACAAGAATGCAGTTGGTGCCAGGCGCTCTTCCTGCAGGGTCATCAGCAGCACTGAGCCCCAACAATGGCTGATGGAAAGGAGAAGAGGTTGAAGAAGGTGAAGGCTGAGCGGGAGAAGATTGAGAAAGAGCTGGGGACTGTCTGTAAGGATGTGCTGGCTCTGCTGGACACATTCCTCCTCTAAACGGCACTGGTGTTCAGTACGCGAGCAAGGTGTTTGACCTGAAGATGACAGGTGATGACTACCTGGACCTAGGAGAGGTAGCTTCAGGGAAGCAGAGAAACTATGTGTAGCAGAGGTAGATTCAGGAAAGGCAGCTTCGGAGGCTGCCTTTGAAATCAGCAAATATCCCGCGCAGCCCACACATCCCTCTGGCTAGGTCTGGCCCTCCACTTCTCTGTGTTCTCCTGTGAGATGGGATCCAGCAGGTACCCCAGCAGGCTGGCCTCCTAGCCAAACATGCCTCTGATGATACCATAGCTGGACATTCGCAACCAGGATTCCTAGACGGACTCCCCACTCATTGTGCAGTTGCTGGGAGACAACCCCATTCCCTGGACGGGGGCAGCAGGACAAGGATGCGGGCGATGGCCATTGAAGATCCCTCAGGTCCCTGCCTCTTTCTTCACCCACCACCCTGTCGTCACCCAGTCACAAGCACTCAATATCTAGTGCCAGCCCATCTGTGTCAGCCGCAGACCACTGGGGTCTGCTGTCCAGGTTCTCACAGGCATTGCTGGACGGATGGTTGCTTTGAGGCCTCAGGAACTCGGGGTTTTTTTTTGCGGGGGGTGGGGGCTCTGGGGAGGCTTGGTTGTGCAGACTAGCTCATTCTGAAAGAGGCCTTTCCCTATGCCTAAGGATCAGAAAATCCTGGCAAAGGGAATGTGGACATTTGGAAAGGCAAATTAGCCAACACAGGCCATAATTGATATGTAAACGACCCATTTCAAACAAGCTGATAGTGTTTTGTGAAGCAATGCAACTTGGGCACAAGAACATGAACCCACCCCCCTCTTTCTTCAGCTAATGACAAACTGTTTCAACCTGTGGCTCACGACCCCTTTGGTGGTCAAAGGCCCCTTTCACAGGGGTCGCCTGATTCATCACAGTAGCAAAAGTACAGTGATGAAGGAGCAACGAAAATCATGTTATGGTTGGGGGTCACCACCACGTGAGGAACTGTATTCACGGGTCTCGGCACTAGGAAGGCTGAGAACCCCTGTAGTCAGCGAAGCTGATAACAAAGAGACAACTGCCCCTTCCCGTCCACTTTGTAATAAACTATTTAAGTGAAGGTTCAGTACAGCCTCGTTTTGCCTCTTTAAATTATATGCGCACAAATCTTTTCAATGCAATGCCTCTGAAGTTTTGGTAGCTGTAAGTTGTTTTTTTCTTTTTCAGTGAGGGTTGTGATTGTTTAAAAATCATGGATTTATTTTTTTGTAATTCTGTGGCTACTGTCCTTGCATATCCTGACAGCGCCACGTGTGCTAAGCCATGTCGATCAAGAAAGTGATTTATGAAAGTCTATAGAATTTAGACTTCTAAGTTAAATGTTTTGGAATCCAGTGGGTAGATAAATTGCTGCTTTGGGGATAGAAGATGGAGGAGGTGGAGGAGGAGGAAGAGGAGAAGGGAGTCTTGATCCCACAAATCAGCCATTAACAGCCCAAAGAAGCCCAGTTCTACTCTCACATGCACACAGCTGCCAGGAGTCGGATCGACTCCATGGCCAACGGTTTGTATATTTGGCTGGTCTGTTCTGACGAGAGGACAAGCAATCATGGGCAGGTGAGCCAGAATCCAGGGCTGAGGGGTGTGAGTGGCAGCTAAACAGTTCAGATTTCATACTTTTGGTCACAGAAGCTACTTGCATTTTAAGGCGCTGAGCTCAAATTGTTTTGGATAGATTAGAAGATAGGCCAGAAGTAAACAAGCCACTGAGAAGCTCTGGCGATAATGAGATTAAAACAAAAAAGATCCCAATGGAGTTTTGAGCAGGGCTGTGTGGGGCTTTGGGAGTGGACAAGAATAGATGAAGCAAAGGGGGGTTCTGATGTTACTCTTTCTGAGACGTGATCAGGGAAGAGGTGGGAACAGGCATACATTTATGCTTTCTTCCAGTCCTTGATGACGTGACCTAGCTCGTCAGGAGGAGTCAGCTTCCGCCTTGAGTCTAAGTAGATCCTTTTGGCTCCCCATGCCCATTTCTAGTCCCAGACGGGAGAGGGCATGGGGCCAGCACAATCCATTTGTTATAAGAGCAATGAAATATAGTGAGAATGTAGCAAGACTGAATGCAGGCTGGCCATGACCCATGCTGGCCCAGCAGAGCACCATGTGATTTCTGCGATGGCCAAGGGGAGGGTGTCCCTGCTTCTTGCTGACACCCCACTCTTGCTGTAGATATCCTGGATGGGTTCCTGTACCGCATGACCCTCTGCCTGGACGCTGTGCAGGAGTGGGGCAAGCAGTATGATGTCCACAACCTGTACGGCTACTCGATGGCGATCGCCACCAATGAGTAAGTCCAACTTGCTGTAGACTGAGTGCACGGTCCAGTGACCCATCCTTCCAGGTGTCAGGTGACCCATGTACATGTATATTTTTTAATCTGGAAGAATAGAGAAACCATCTGGCCCTTGGAAAGATGGGAATCCAATTAAAACTGTTGAATGTATAAAATGAAGGAAAGAAAGGATGGATGGATGGATGGATGGGTGGGTAGATAGATGGTGGGTGGGTGGATGGATGTTACAAAGGTTGGGAGAAATAAGAGTGAAGTAACATGTCCAAGGTAAAAGAGCTCACAAATAACAAAATCAAATTCCAAGTTCACTTCTGCATGAATCCCTGGTCCAGGGTTTTCTCCTCTGACACCTTTCTAGACAGGAGTGCACAGGAGGTGCGACTCAGCCCCCGTGTGGTTGGTGGTTGTAGCTACTTGCTCAGCATCCTTCTACTGAGCTTATCTGCCTTTCCGTAGTCACATTCTGTACTGAGGAAAAGACACAGAACGTCCTGTACTTCATGACCACTGGGACAATAGGGACCCAGACCACACACACACACACACACACACACACACACACACACGAGGTCACGGGAGTAATTGTACCATTTTCAAAGTTCTTGGAGAAATTCTATACTCAACGTTTTCAAATATATGTGTATCTATAGACTCTCAATTAAAAAATATATAAAGGAAACATTTATGCGGCTGATAAAAGCACACACACAATTTTTAAGTGTGCTTCCTGACGATGAAATGATTACCAAAGGATTTCCAACTCGAAGGAGTTTGCTTCCTACCGGCTGTTCATAGAGCCACTTCTGTGAAGTCACAGAATACGTGTAATGTATTTCTTCAATGAACTTTGGATACCTCTACTTTCTAGGTGTTTCAAGGCAGCTTGTGAAATTCTTGGATATTATGGGGTTAATGTAAGGTGGCCAGATGTCCCACTTTTGGCGGGACAGTTCCGATTTCTAACAATTTTTCCCGCATCCCGCGGCGTTTTAAAAAAGTCCTGATTTTCTGAAAGAATGTATGACAAGCTAGGGTATACGGTTTTTGGCTGCCATGTGGCTATTTCGCCAGGATATGAGTTTTATCAATGATGTCCCGCTTATGTCCTGCTTTACCAATGCTAAAATCTGGTCACCTTAGGTTAATGGTATCCATAAATGACCTCAAAACAAACACAAACACACTCACTGCTGTCGAGTCAGTTAGAGTCAATCTTTATGGGATCAGACAGTCTCATCTTTCACCCACCAAGGGGCTAGTGGGTTCAAACTGCTGCCCTTGCAGTTAGCAAGTAACCCTGTACCACCAGGGCTGTTCCTCATTTCTCCTCATAGCCACGCCCACTCTACTGACAGAGAAAGAGCTTAAAGAGAAGCTGGTCCTTGGTAGTGAGGCTGAACTTCCTGGGCCCAGACGAGCTGGGTCGCGCATGGATTCACCAACTCTTTCTGCTTCTAGAGCTGTCAAGAGCGTCTTCCCCAATAAGAGGAGCTTTCTCATTACCCGCTCCACTTTCGCTGGCTCTGGGAAGTTTGCTGCCCATTGGCTGGGGGACAACGCAGCCACCTGGGAGGACCTTCGGTGGTCCATCCCTGGCATGCTTGAGTTCAACCTCTTCGGTATCCCCATGGTAAGTGCCCAGCCCCAGTCCTCCTGTGAATCTCTATATCCTCAGGAAGCTCCCCTCTAGAACGTTCCACACCGTGAATCTCAGCTCCCTTGTGAATCTCCACTCCCTTGCTCACTGAGACCCGGAGTGCTAGATCTGGGGAGTGTGAGTGCGTCATCCACCCAGAAGGTGTGGGGAGCAAGGACTTCATCTGCATCCATAGGGCTCTGATACCACCACATGTTTGCCTTACAAAGATGAGGCTGCCTCGAAGTGTTATCTCTGGGACAGTTCTCTTTGAGGAAAAAAATCCAAAAATTTAAGAGTGTTTTTTACATATAATTCACACATCATACAGTTCGATGGTTTAAACATATTAAAAAGAGTTGTGCAATCAGCACCTAAATAAATGTTAGCACATTTTCTTCTTTCTTGTATTGTTATCATCCACCCCCAATTACCACCGCCCCTGCCATCACCCTAAGGAATGATATAAATGCAGGTACTCTCCCTATCCTGTATTTCATATAAAGAAAAACATGCCAAACAAAACAAAACAAAGTAACAATCATAACAAAATAAAATAGAGGGAAAACCTCAATCGCAAAGAAAGCAGGAAATAATAAAAGTGAGAATACATTTAAGCTGGGTCTAAAAGGAGAACAAATGACAAGGTGTTAAAATTTAACCTAGCTGCATCTACTGTCCACTTTCCAATACACCCTGTCTGCTCACGCGGAGGGGTCCTTACTGAAACAGAGCATCTATGCCGACAAGTGCATGCCTCACTGCCCAAGGAGCTGACAGACTTCATGAGCTGAACTCATTGTCTGTGAACCCAACACCCAGATGAGTTGGGATAGCATTGACCAGGTGCTTTGAGGGTCTTTGAGTTAAATCCAGCATATACAAAGGGGCTTCACAAATTTGGTGGAAGAATGGAATAGAAAGATAATGGAATTTTCCCATGAACTTTTTGAAGCCTGCTCCTGTGTTCCTTGGTCTTCTCCTGTGTGCTGGGCCCTGAGCTAGATCTCATGCTGAAGGCAGAGCCATGCACATAAGAGCATGCAGTTGATGGGGACAAGATAGATATGGATCACTACATCCAATGATCAAAGAACACCATAAGCTAAGGTGCAGGTGCTAACCAGGATGCACGCTTTAATGCTGAGGGAGGTTCTGAGACAGGAACTCACTAGCTTGGGAAAATGACGCAGGCCAGGGGATCAGGAGCGAGCCAGGAGGACTTAGTGGGAAATATGGCGCTTGAGTTTGCCGTGAGAAGTGGGCCTGTTTCATCAACTGATCGGGGAGAAGGTAGTTTTAAGACTGAGAGCCCCCGGAAGGAAAGGCATGTTCCTTGTATTTCTCTGGGAATGGTGTGTAGATATCCCTGGGAGGCAGGGTGGAAAAGGATGTTGGAAAGTTGGGTTGGGACCATGCTATGAAGAGCCTATAGGATAAACAGCAGGGAGAACCTGGGAGGTTTCCAGCAGGTAAGTCATGGGTTAGAGTCCGGCTTCCTCTAGATCAGTGGTTCTCCACCTTCCTAATGCCGCAACCCTTTCATACAGTTCCTCGTGTTGTGGTGACCCCCAACCATAAAATTATTTTCGTTGCTGCTTTATCACTGTAATTTTGCTACTGTTATGAATAGGGAGACTCCTGTGAAAGGGTCATTTGATCCCCAAAGGGATCGTGACCCGCAGGTTGAGAACTGCTGATCTAGAGGGGCCCTGGGGACACAGCAGTTCAAGTGTGGGGGGCAGTTCAAACCTACCAGTCACTCCCAGGGACAGAGATGAGGCATTCTACTACAGTCAAGATAAAAAAAAAAAAGATTTAATCTTAGAAACACTAGGTAGCAGTTCTGCTCTGTCCTGCAGAGTTGCTGTGAGTCAGACTCGACTTGATGGTAGTGGGTTGTTTTTTTTTACTGAACACAAATGAGGAAGCCTAAGGGTACTCTGGGCCGTGGGCCAGCAAGGGTGGACATGGGCCTAGCCTGCTCAGTCAGGGCCCTGGTGGCCAGAGTGGGCAGGCCCCGGTGTGTATCCTACAGGTGGGTGTGGACATCTGCTGTTATGTGGTGGGACCTCTGCTGGGAGGTCCCTGGTGGTGGGATGCGGAGGTGGGGGGATACGGAGGTGGTGGGATATGGAGGTGGTGGGAGAGGTGGCCCATGGTGTATGTCCTCCAGGTGGGCGCAGACATCTGTGGCTTTGCTATGAACGTGACCGAGGAGCTGTGCACAAGGTGGATGCAGCTGGGGGCTTTCTACCCATTCGCCCGGAATCACAATGGCCAAGGCTACAAGGTGAGGCTCCCAGGAGATGTGGCCCACAGAGACAGGGTGGACTTTAGCACGGCGTCTGTCTGTCCTCACCGGGGACCCGGTGGAGTGATCGCCAACAGAGTGCCACTCTCATGCTCATCTGTTGACTCGCTGGTAGCTGCCCAGGCCTGGTGGGTGGGGTGTCCTTAAATGCCCTACCACCACCAGGGACCAGGTGCCCTCGAGTCAGCTCTGCCCCAGGCACCTCCACGTGTGTCAGAGAGGAAGTGTGTCCCACAGGGTTTCCAAGGGCTGACTGCTTTGGAAATCTATAGCCAGGCCTTTTTGCCCAAGATGCCTCCAGATAGACTCCCACCTCTAGACGTTTGGTTTGTAGCTGAGTGAGTACATTCAGGGCACGCGCTCTCTCTGCTGTTGGCGTCTCCCAGGAGCTCCCACCAACTTCTGTGTGCTTCACCTGCGGCACTCAGCCTGTTGAGGAAGTCGGACATGTCCAGATGACTCCGGTTTCCTGAGAATAATCCGAGAGCTAAAGGGACGGAGCGCGGGCTGGGCGTTCTGACCTCCCTGCGATACTCAGAACCCGTGCAGAGCGGGAGTTCCAGGATCCTGGGCGAGGAGGCTCTGTCTCTTTCTAGAAGTGCTTTATGGCATGCTGGGTGAAGGAGGGGTCCCAGAGCAGACCGGTTTTCTATCCAACCGCGCTTTGCTCCATGTCGTTGACTGCCCTTCCCTCAACGCCACTTCGCTCATCCCACCTCCTCCCGAGTCTCCTGGCTCTGTTCCTCCTTCTTCCCTAACCTTGTGAACTCTGTGTTTGGGCAAACGCAGCACACTGGACCTCAAATGGCTGCTGATGCTGAGGTGTGCGTGCCTCCCAGGTGCAATTGTTCTTATAGTTCAGTCTAGCCCAGGCCGGGTTTCCTTAGGCTGTGCCAGGGTATGGGTCCTCAACAGTCAAATGCGTCCTTAGGAGTGACTTTGTGATTATGAAAAATAATACAGACAGACAGACAGACAGGGGAACACAGGGGCTCCTTGTCCCTATGTCAGGACCGAGAGGGTGAATGTATTTTCTAATGGGTATGTATAATGGGGCTAACAGATCTTTCAAAAGGCACACACGTCATAGAGTGAACATGTTACATAGGTAATGGGTAATATCATAAGCAGATAGCACAATGAATAGGCAACGAAATGACTCAGCTACTTGATCTTGTGCTATTTGACTTTGGATGCCCCTGAGTCCTCTCCAGGGGAGCAACCTATGATTTTTCTGTATCAGAAAGAGATGTCAGATGAGGGCTTGTTATCTTTTACAGTGGGTTGGGCGATAAAACCTCACTGCTCTTATCTACAGGTAACTTTCAGGCACGTCAATAGCCAGATGCAGGAATGATTCATCTTTTGTGGTCGCTCCTGTATGACAATTCCTTTACGGGGAGTTGTTGCAGGGATTGTGTTCTATCATGCGGCTGTGTATCGACATTTATTTATATCTCATAACCTGGAGGGTCTTCCCCCACCGGAGTCGGCTTTCCAGACCTGCGTAGAGGATTTAGCTGTGTGACATTGTCCGTTCACCAGTGTTGTGCATAAGGTCACTGTCAGTCGGAACTGACTTGACGGCAGCTAGCAACAAGAGCAGTAGCATTATTGGGCTGGGTAACTGCCCAATGCAGGGTAACTGCCGGGAAAGGGGTCTGGAGTCCTGCCAGGGCTTCCTTGATGCCAGAGCCAGGCACAATTGTCACCCTGTGTGTTGCAGGACCAGGACCCTGCCTCCTTTGGTACTGACTCCCTGCTGCTGAAGTCCTCCCGGCATTACCTGAACATCCGCTACACCCTGCTGCCCTACCTGTACACGCTTTTCTACCGCGCCCACACCCGAGGAGACACGGTGGCCCGGCCCCTGCTGCATGAGTGAGTCCCCCGTCAGGTGACATCTGAGCAGGTCCTTGCATTTTGCAAACGGACACAATCCTAACCAGCTACTCTCGGGCGACCCCGAGTTAGGGTGACCCCCATGTGTCAGAGGAGAACTGGGGTTCCAGAACCCGGGTTTTAAAATCAAGTTGCCACGCCTTTCTTCCGAGACACTTCTGGTGGTCCACCAGCTGCTGAGCTTGTTAACTGTTCGCCCCACCTGGGGGGCTCCCACCCTGAAGCGCCCAGTTGGCTTCTGCAGGGGGACTGCTGTCTGGAAGTTGCTCAGGGGGTACAGGCAGGGTGCATGGCTTGGGCCCAGGTGGGAGGTGCCCTGGACTCAAGCACCTGGCCTCAAAGACTCAAGGGCTGGTCATGTTGGCCCTCACCTCACGGTGTGCCTGCGGCAGCTTCCTACCTTCTCTGACCCCCTGCATCCTCTGCCACAGTCTATAGGATGAGGAAGGTCTCGTCCTAGGAAAGCGCCTTGGTGGCTCAGTGGGTCATGCATTCAGCTGCTAACCACGAGGTCAGCAGTTCCAACCCTCCGGTCTATCCATGGGAGGAAGATGAGGCTGTCTGACTGCC